TTAGTTCCGGTTTGCATGTCTTACTCTTGAGAAGCTGGAACAAGGTCCTCAAGCCATCATGTTGAAACCTGTCAGCTCGATAAGAGGCTGTCTAAATAGGTCGACACGTCGACTGGAAGTAGCAAAAGAGCATAATTCCCCCCCCCCCGTCGGCATACTGCGCCCACGTGGCATAATGCCATCGCGAATTTGAAGAATTATAGGCACACTCATTCAACCTGCCGGTTCAAGTCCATTAACTTCATATCTTTGATAATTTCAGAGAAATTTGATGATGCAATGCGTCATCTGAGCGCAGCCATTAAACGTGATGTGAAAAACATTGATTTGTACGAGTTACAGATTGTGACCTATCTTCAGCGAGAGAAGTAAGTGTTCGAGTTTTTTCTTCAACTGCTGATTCACAGTAGTCGTTTTTCGACATCCGTTCCTTATGATCATGTTTTCGACCAGTTTAGAATCCGCGAAGCTCGTGCAGCCGTTGCCATTTGCATGCAACACCTTCCAAATTCACCTAGAGCACGTGTTCTTAAAGCGCAAGTATTACTCGCTACTCCAAGTGGTAAAGAGGTAATCCTGAAATTCAACAATTTTTCTTTGTGGCTTTTGTTGCAGGATCGGGTTATACTACATTTTTTTAGGAAGCACAAACGATTTTGGAGGAGGTAGTGTTCGCCCATCCTTATCTTCTTGAAGCTGTGTGGCTTCTCATAAGTCAGTATGACAGTACCCACAACTACCAAAAAGGCACAGAAGTTTTAAAGAAACTAACGGAGGTATGTATCTTTCAAGCATCTTTCAAGCAGGTACAGAATCGGGATGGTGAAATGACGGTGTCATTAGGAGTTCCTCACGAGCCTCAGAATGACCCCCTTCCAGCTTCGTCAAATTTAAAAGTTGACTATTATGCTACTGCTGTGCAGAGGTTATTCATCGGGTGCCTCTACTTCGGACTCTCTTTGGACGACTGTTCTCAGAAACGAACTATTAGTGAAACTCAAAATAGCATCGAAAAGCACCGGATTCATTATTTTATAGTTATGCCAATCCTTCCTGTGAGTACTCTCCTATTTAGGAGGAATTTTTGATGCGTTCTTGATGGAATATTGACCCAAGCACAATTTTCTCTGCCGTTGTAAGCAAACTCTTTCAGCAACAGTAGTACGCCCTCAGAAACATTTCCTCTCTGAATCGCAAGAAGAACTTACTTCGCTTGGATTAGCGTAGACTGACTTATTCCATGAAGGCAGTCGACTTCCACGCTGAGGCGAATGAGGAGAGTTCTTTCACATGACGTTTGCCAATGCAAGCAGTTTTGGCTTGATGGTTAAGGAAGGTGCATAACTTTACTATGCTTTGTTTGCTTGTTCCAGTACAGGCTCACCCTTGCCCTAATGGCACCGTCATTTTCTAGCGATCAAAATGACCTCTTCTTAGGGTCCTCCTAACGATGCTGTACCTTGTTTCGAAAGTCATCGCGTTGTTTCTGCGAGCTTATCGTCCCATTTCCAGAATTCAATGGTTCCTTTCCATTCGATGGGCCGATTACACCATCAGCTTGGCGAGTTCTTGTCAAAAACAGGTATGCCCGCA